ACCAAAAAGCACGTAAATAATATCTCCCTTCTTGTTTGGGACGTTTTGTAGCAAGAATTTTAATTTTATGTTAGCAAAATTATCAAAAAATATTAAATATAAACTCCATATATTTATATTTTTCTACAAAAGGTATCTATAATTTGTTTTTTTTTTAATGTTAACGGAGCAACAATGCGTGCATCCCCCACGCATGTCTGCATTCGTTGAAGTCTAATCAACGACTGAGACCAACGCAAACGTACTGTTTTGTTCAATGTTCATTTTGTGCATCATAGATCTAAGATTTAAATTAAAAGAGCTCGATTTAAATATAAGAGAGAGAGAGAGAGAGTTTGTGGGAGAGTAATGTCTCAATGTTAAACAACCGTTTTTAAAAAAAAGAGATAAAGTTTGGTTTGATATAACAGCAGCGGGCGTTGATAGGCACCGATGGTTTGAATTTAATGAAATATATCGATAAAAGGCCTTATAACTATAAGGCCTTGCTTATATCCAGATTGATGATATCATGGCCCATAGATACACAATTCGAATTGTTGTACGTGCATCTGTACTCATGTTAGTAAACAATTAATCTGAATTGTTTATAAACAATATATGTTGTACAAAGATGCCAAGATAAAATAAAAATTACTAAAATCATATTTGGAATAATTTTGAATATATTTTAGATTTGAATAAAAAAAAAATACAAAAACTTAATTTTTTTGGTCACATTTTTTTTAAACAGAGACATGATTAATTGTATATTAAATGGCCGAAGGCAATGTGTGTTAAACATTAGTACAACTCAATATTTTGTTATCTAATCAACAAATATTTTATTATCATATAACCCATGTAGAATTTCGAAAATTAACTACTTTTTTTTGCTTTGTCTAATATATTGATAAAAAAAAACCTAAGTACAGAACTCATGTACTCCGAACAAACTTAGAAAGAAACGGAAAAAAAATATATATAGGCCAAGATTTCCATATCCCCTAAAATTTTTATTAGTTTGCAGATCTTTTTTGCAGAGAAAATATTTTTTTAAAACTATAGACAGCACTTTTTAGAAAATTATTGAAAAAAAGTAGGAAATTGATGTTCTCCATTGGCTTTGAAAAATACCTAAAAATTATCTGTGCCCTAAAGAAAAAAGTCTGTAAGTCTGTAGCCCCAAAGAATATCTAAATAAGTAAAAAAAAAATTTAATTAGACCGGGCTGAACTTTTAATACCCTCCATCTTAGGGTAAAGGAAACATTAGAAGCCATTACGTCCCACAAATACCATTTTTTAGACAAATTCGTGGGAAAATGTGGCGGAAGTCATCAATATACCGAATATCGGGAGGTACCTATATGGGGCTGTACAAAAATGTGGACCTATACATAAAATTTTTCGCCACCGGAGTTAGGACCCATTATGATCCTCAAAAATCAATTTTTAGGCAAATCCGTGAAAAAAGTAGGGCAAAATTCATTAAAATACCGAATATCGGGAGGTTCCGTTATATGGGGCTATATAAAAAATACCAAAATGTGGATCTATACCTACAATGTTTCGCTACCGGAGTTGGGACCCATTATGACCAACAAATACCAATTCTCAGACAAATCTGTGAAAAATGTGGCAAAAAATCATCAAAATACCGAATATCGGGAGGTACCGTTATATCGGGGCTATACCAAAATGTGGATCTATACATACAAAGTTTCGCCACCGGAGCTAAAACCCATTATGACCAACAAATACCAATTTTTATACAAATCAGCGAAAAAAGTAGGGCAAAATTCATTAAAATACCGAATATCGGGAGGTACCGTTATATCGGGGCTATACCAAAATGTGGACCTATACATACAAAGTTTCGCCACCGGAGTTAGGACCCATTATGACCCTCAAATACCAATTTTTAGACAAATCCGTGAAAAAAGTAGGGCAAAATTCATTAAAATGCCGAATATCGGGAGGTACCGTTATATGGGCCTGTATAAAAATGTGGACCTATACCTATTCACCACCGGACCTAGAACGCATTATGACCAACAAATGCCGATTTTTAAACAAAAATTTTTGAAAAAATAGGACAAAAATCATTAAAATACCGAATATCGGGAGGTTCCGTTATATGGGGGCTATACAAAAACGTGGACCTTTACCTACAATGTTTCGTCAACGAAGCTAGAACCCATTATGACCCTCAAATACCAATTTTTAGAAAAATCCGTAAAAAATGTGGCAAAAATCATCAAAATACCGAATATCGGGAGGTACCGTTATATCGGGGCTATACCAAAATGTGGACCTATACATACAAAGTTTCGCCAACGAAGCTAGAACCCATTATGGCTCTCAAATACCAATTTTAAGACAAATCCGTGAAAAAATAAGACAAAAATAATTAAAATATCGAATATCGGGAGGTACCGTTATATAGGGACTATACCAAAACGTGGACCGATATATCTCATTTTCAATACCAACCGTCCTAGGCACAATACAAATTGTTC